CCCAAAAAAAAAAAAAAAAAAAAAAAAAAAAAAAAAGCTACATGAAACTACATGACTCTATTTCCAAGTTGGTGCCTATTATGCAAGAAAGGCACTGAAACACAAACCCACCGGTGCACATACGCCATTATGCAAGAAAGGCACTGAAACACAAACCCACCGGTGCACATACGCCATTATGCAAGAAAGGCACTGAAACACAAAACCACCGGTGCACATACGCTCATAATTTCTAGACAAGGATTTTCAATATCTTTAGATGACATCTCAATTTCTTAGGAAGACAAAAGAGTTATTGGACATGGCCTTAGCATACTACCCCTTCAAGAACAAAAAAATCCTGCTATGAAAAAAACTCATTATAATTTTCTTTTGGAAACTATGGAAAGAAAGAAATCAAGGAATATTCACATAGAATATCTTCACCAATGTTGTCTACCACGCAATATCTTGGTGTAAATTGTCTAATACTTTTATTTCCTATAGTCATATCTTCCTCTTTGTAAATTGAGAAAATCTTTTGTAAGCATCATGGATAATACATCATTTTTGTAAATTTTAAACATCAATAAAAAAATTCTCTAATTTTTTTCTTTTTTTAAAAAGGATGGTTTCAATAGAGAATTTTTAGAAAATCCTAGAATACTATTAAAGATGACCTTATTAAGGTGTCCAATAGTTTTTTTCCTCAATTTGTTTGAGAAGGCTTCAGGTGTTACTATAAATCTGCAGAAAACGAATGCTATTGAGGTAAACGTGGAAGATTCAGAGGTTTGGGTGTCGCGAATCTTAGATCTAAGAACCTTTATCTTCTTACGAAGGAGATTGCGAAGACAGGTAATTTATCAGGAATTTTATTTTCTTTCGATGCTTCAATTACAGATTTGTTAGGCATTCGCTCCTTGGGTTGATTTTCAGCCTCTTGTTTTGGGTTTCTATTTATACAGGCTCTCCGTGAAGACAGCATAAATTATCTCAAGAAAATAACATAAATTATTAGCAAGGATGAAATGGATCAGATATCCTTTCCCAAAATAGTTTCGTAACAGGATTCTTAATTCAGCTGAATATGCCATTTACTGATTTTCTTCCTTTCTCTTAATGAAAAAATTAACCAGAGAGAGTTATAATATAAATAGCATGCCCACATTAGTTCCTTAACATTGTCAGCCAAAAAATTAGCTTCTTTTTTTCTCCCCTATTGTGGAGATTCATGCAAATTTAAGGTGCAATTGATAGTTGATACCTTCAGTACTCTGAGCTCAACCTTTGTTATTTCACGCCCATTTATGAAAACTTTTGTGTTCCCTTTGCTTGCATCCGCCCGAAGCTTACCTCCAACATTCAGTTTTGAACTGATTATCTTGTCCGGCTTCTCTCCTTCCTAAAATCAACGAAAAGTAAATAGAAGATGAATTCAAGATATTCAATGGGTGAACATGGATTGATTTTTCTTTTTCACCTTTCCCCAAAGCCCCGAGTCCTTGTCGTACCAATACCTTCCCGGCTTCAATTTCTGCGGGGGAACCGCACAGCCCAAAATCTCAGCTAATTCTTCGGGACGTAACTGCCTTCCATTCACAATTAGCTGCTCGGGTCGAAGCTGATTCGCCGGGCACTCCTTCTCAGCTTTCAGTATCTGCTTAATCTCCAATGGGCTACAGACTCTTGATAAAAGCCTGGAACACTTGCCCAGTATTGGCCTCTTCGACTCATCTATCGGCCGTCCAATGCAGCCCACGCACTTCCGTCCCTCTGGCATTGATCCCATTGCCTTAAGTAGACAATTACTGCAGTACTGTGCATCGCAGACCAAACAAGCTTCCCTCTCTTTCAACCGATTACCTCTCCCACATCTACTACAAATTCCTCTCTTCTTCGATTGCTTCTCCCGGGAATGAGATAAAGCCGGAGATGTCATCACATCGGTCGTACACGACCTGGTATAGGAAAACACATCTTCGTCGTCGTCTTCCGAATCTCTCGGTGTAACAAACGTTACAGTATTTGCACGCCTACCTTCAACCGCAGCAGGTTCAGATTCAGAATTCAAGTGCTGTACAGACAGTTCTGAACTAAACTCCGAGTGTTCACCATTCTGCGATTCCTGTTGAACTCTAGAAACCGAAGACGATCTCTGACTCTCCATTGGACTACGGGAATCTGCTCCATTCCTAAACCGATTAAACCTGGAAACCCTGGGAGCAATAGGATAAACAATCGGAATCGAAGAAGCGTCAGGGACCGAAATAATGGAAGGAGATGGAATAGAAAGTGATTCCAAATCCAGTGGTTCGATCTTCGGTAGCTCGTGATCCACAGGAGGGCCTCGATACTCAACTGCAATCGAGTAATCAAGGTGTTCTTCGTCTGGTAACGGTGCACCAGCAGGCAGCATCCTCCGTAGAGCCTCTTGCCAAGCATTCTCCTCATCAGTATCGGAAGCCATGAAAGGAATTCTTCAATGGATAGAGAGAAGAAAGGTTGTTGTTGGTTCAGAGAATCAAAGAAAAATGGCGAAGAATCCGATTGGGGGGAAGGGGATAATCTTGGAGGACAGAAGAGTTGAGAGCTCGTGGGAGTTGGCAGAAGAAGTAAACGGAAGGGATTAACGGAATGCGTTAAAGCAGTCTGGCACAAGCGCCAGCATGGCCACTGATTGGTACTGTTCCTCTTTTGCCCTTTAAATTGGTCGCATGTAAATACCAAAAGCATTATTTATTCCTTATTTTCACTTTCACTTTCTTTTTCTTTTTTCTTTTTTTTTCGCAAAAAATATATTAAAAAAAACAAAAAAAAAAACATTATTAATTTCTCCACCAAATTATATATTATTTTAAAAAATACTTGAAAATATTGACGTAATGATTTGGGCACTCTCTCGGAGAGAGGCTCGGTGAAATAGACATGTCTGTGTGAAGATGCGGACTTTCATGCGCAGCTTAGGTAGACAACTTATATAGGCCTCCCAAAAGATAACAGAAGAGCTAGAATTCTAACCTTGGCTCAGAACCTACGAGCCAAGGGACAGTCTCAGGTAGACAATTTATATGGAGTGTAGGCCTCCCAAAAGGTAACGGAGGCATGCAAAAGTTTCCTCGGGCCAAACGGAGATTGGCCCTCGAGTGGGTCCTTTTTAGACATAATCCAGATAATCATCCAAGTCATTATCACGTCGTTACGTGTTACCACCACATTTTTTATATAATTTAGCGTAATTTCTTTAATTATTACGTTAAATTCACCGATCTCCATGCACCTAAAATTAAATATCTAGTCTTCAGTCTTGCGCAAGCTTTAACCGATCAAAGAAGTGTTTATGTTATGTATTAAATGGGGTATAACGGGTTAATGTTTATCTACCTATTTTACCCTTAAAATCTTATTTAAGAAACTTATTTTGCGGTTGAGACTCAATTATTTGAGTTTAGATGTCGGTTAAGTGAAATTTCAACAATGGAGATGGTTGATCGGATTATAACGTAATACATTTATTATCGTTAATGTATACATGAACATTAGGTTTTCAAACGAAATTATAAGATTTGGTCGAATAATTGTAGTTTACGTGTTGATAAGACGTTACGATCAAAATTAAAATTTACGTAACAAAACTAGTAATTATTTATGTCTTTTCAACAATCATTCGTCGTTTATATATAAATAATTATTATATTCAGTCACAGTATTTATTTTCATAAAAGTTTTTTCTCGTGTTTTTCATGAAAATGTAAGCTTTCTATAACAGATTACGTTTATTACGGTTTATGTATACATGAAAATTGGGTTTTCAAATGAAATTATAAGATTTAGTCGAATAATTGCAGTTTACGTGTTGATAAGACGTCACGATTGGAGATACTTATCTTCCACGTCAAATTGATACATTCATACAGATGCATCCATTAAATGATTATAATTAAAATATACGTTACAAAACGAGTCATTATTCATGTCTTCCCAAAAATCGTATGTCGTTTATATATAAATAATTACTGTATTGAGTCATCGAGTTTCTGTTAGTCTAAAATTTTTAATTCAATGTTTCATAAAAGTTCCTTCTCCGATTTCTCGTGAAAATGTAAGCTTCTTATAACAGAACACGTTTGTTACGGTTAATGTATACATGAAAATTGGGTTTTCAAATGAAATTATAAGATTTAGTCGAATAATTGCAGTTTATGTGTTGATAAGACGTCACGATTGGAGATACTTATCTTCCACGTCAAATCGATATATTCATTCGGTTACATCCATTTAATGATTAAAATTAAAATTTACGTTACAAAACTGAGTCATTATTCACGTATTCCCAAAAATCATCTGTCGTTTATATATAAATAATTACTATATTCAATCAGAGTTTCTTTGAGTTAAAATTTTTAATTCACTTTTTCATAAAAGTTCATTCTCCGGTTTCTCGTGAAAAATGTAAGCTTCCTATATTAGGATACGTTTATTATGGTTAATGTAAACATGAATAATTGCAGTTTACGTGTTGATAGGACGTCACGATTGGAGATACTTATCTTCCACGTTAAATCGATACATTGATTCAGATGCATCCATTAAATAATTAAAATTAAAATATACTTTAAAAAACGAGTCATTATTTATGTCGTCCCAAAAATGATTTGTCGTTTATATATAAATAATTACTATATTCAGTTACCGTGTTTCCTCTTGTCTAAAATTTTTATTTCATTTTTTCATAAAAGCATATTAACATATTTGAATTACCTAAATAGAAGAGTTACTTAAAAAAAACCTCGAACTTGTGAATGTCTTATGTTTTTTCGTAGCTAAAGTTCACGACGAGAGATATTACCCAAACATTCATTTTCTTCTAGCTAAAGTTGTAGAAATTCGTTATCGAGCGATCTCACATTGGTTTGAGAGGGAAACGAAACATTCTTTGTAAGGGTGTGGAAACCTCTCCCTAACAGACGAGTTTTGAAATTGTGAGACTGATGGCAATATGTAACGGGTAAAAATCGATAATATCGGTTAGTGGTGGGCTTGGCTGTTACAAATGATATCAGAGGCGGTCACCGAGCGGTATGTCAACGAGAACGCTGGGTCTTTAAGAAGAGTAGATTGAAAGATCTCTCGTTAGTTGGAGACGGGAACGAAGCTTTCTTTACAAGAGTATGAAAACCTCTTCCTAACCGACACATTTTAAAATCGCAAGGTTAACAACGATACGTAACGAGCTAAAACAGACAATAACGAAACACCATAAATTAAAAAACAGTAGATTTTAGTGATTAAACAGTATAGAAACCTCTCCTTAGCAGACACGTTTTAAAACTGTGTGACTAAACAAAGTCCAACTTGAAATAAATTGAATCAATTATTACATAAATGAAGTATGATTTTTTTTTTTAACGCTACACTAATTGCAACTCGAGTTCAACTTCAATGAAATTTGACTTCATTTAATGTAACTAGAATTTATCAACAACGTTCTTTACACATGCCTTAAAGTTCATATTGCACGATCAGAATCTTACGGTTCATATTATTCCCTTCTACAAAAGAATTCACCCGTAAAACTGTATATCATTATAAATTATTATAATCAAATAAGATTTTAATATATTTTACCCACGAGTAAATATTTATAATATTAAAATTATTTATCGGAGATAATTATTAAATTTTATTACAAAATAACAAGGAAAAAAAAATTAAAATGAAAGATACATGAATCTTAAATTATTTTAATATTTTATTTACAAGAAATCCCGATAACATTTCTGGCTAAGAACACCACACCAAATACACCAAACACAGTTATTTAATTTTCGAGCGTAATTTTTTCATATATAATTTTTTTTCGGCATAATGAAAGTATTTTTGAAATAAATTATCGACGAAAATATTAATATTTTTTTGGAAGGTTTTTAAAATTTTAAATACATTTAATTTTCAACTTAGTTTTGGTTGATGATAGGTATAAAGGTTGGGGGAAAAAGAAGAGACTTTTTGCCCTAAAAAAATGAAAGCAAGAACAGAGCACAAAAATTGATCAGATTTGTTCGCTAGCAGTTAGCACACATGGCTGTCCTTCCCTGTTTTTCTGTGTTTCTCCATTCCATGTCCTCTCAAGTTCCACCCACAGTCCACTCCAGACGTTTACTTTCCTCGTTCTCCACTTTGAAACTCCCATTTTCAATTTCAAGCTTTTCTTCATGTTCGTCAATGTCGCTGTGAGCGCCAAACTTTGAACACTTCCTTCAGCCGTAGCACAAGAATCGCGGTTACTATGGTATTCAAAGGCAGGTTTTTCTCCTCTTCCAAGAAGTCTGATTCTTCCAGTCCCGATGGATCCAGTCCTCGATTCCTTGGTTCTAACTCGCCCAGTAGATCCGACAAGAAGAAGAACAAATCAGCCGCCAAAGATGAACCCCAGATTTCTAATACCACTACTAGTAGCTTTAAAGGTACTGTTCTGAAAGATTCTACTAGGAGTAAGGATTGGAAACGAAAAGATGGTCAAGTTTTATTGCCGACTGAGACGCCATCGAAGTCCGAGGCAATATCTGGATTGAGCTTAGGGCCGAAGGTTAAGAAGTCGAGCGATGTGAAGGATGTGGCCTCATCGGTTTCGCCTATTCTCGCATCATCCCTTGGATTGAATAGGATAAAGACAAGATCAGGCCCGTTGCCGCAGGAGAGCTTTTTGGGGTTTAAAGGTGATAAGGGCTCATTGGGTTCGAGCAATCTTTCCAGGAACTGTGGCAATGGAAGCTCAGGCTCCAATTCTGGTTCGACATGGTCGGCGTCTTCTAGTGGAGGGAAGAGAGAGGCGGCGAGCCAGAAGAGATTGGGGTTTCAGGACAATGTTAAAAGCTATATTCACAATGCTAGCAATCCCGACAATATGGCAACTGGTAATGCAGCATCTACTGAAAGGAGTCCAAATTTGTTAGGACAGCCTCGGTTGCAGAATGTCGAATCATCCAATGAAGCTGGTATTGTTTGCTGGTCTCTAATTTTGAAAAGCCTGTCGATATCTTGATTTTTGAATTTTGTACCATTCTTTGTTGTGATTTTCTATATCCGCCTCTTCAATAATCAATACTAAGTATCAAGTGCTGGAGGCACTAGTCAAAGTTGTTGAATAAATGGTCTCTGTGAAAATTCGCTCTAAGATGTGGTTGAGCAGTATTGGATCAATGAGTACTAACCATTACCTTTCTCCAAAACGAGTTAGGTTCATTCATAAATCTTCAAACCCACTTGGTGATATGAGCGCAATTTCTTTGTTTTACCGAGCCCCCATCACTTAGGAGCTTAGATAGGTCAACCCGAGTAAAAGAAGAAGGATTGAATATGCTTTACCGACTGAAATGGCCAATAGGAAATAGAGAGGTTCGGGGTCCGGCAATGGAATTGTTTTCGCTTTCATTTATTTCCTCTCCGGTATAGGTTCTTCTCATCTCATGCTGCTCCCTTTCCTATTCCTATTGATTCAAAGACTGTAAACGAGAATGAATTAATAAAGAGTTCGGTGTTTACTCTTCCTGTTCCATGGGTAGAGCCAAAGAGGGTGAACTGTACAAGTTAACAATAACATTGATGAAATAAAAGAAGGAGCTCCGGTGTATAGAGAGGACCTCACCGTTTAAGAAGTAACCATAAAAACGAAGGAACCCACTATTTCTTTATCCATTTCGATTTTTTTTATTTACTCGAGAGGATAATTTCCAACTAACCAAATGTTAGATTTTCCTCATTATTTCCTTCCCAAAAGAAGCTATTGTTGAAGGAATGACTTAGGAATATTTGTGTAATTTCACTAACTAGAGATATTTGTGTAATCCCATTAAGTGTTTAATGTACTTGACATCCCTAATTTTAGATTTATTGTTACTTGTATTTAGGGATTTATTTTTATTTATTGTTACTTACTATCTAGGGATTTTGTTGGTGTATAATAAAAGACACATATACCTCTCTTAAAAATGAAATGAAAAGCAAGTAAGATAGCTTACAATTGCACCAGTTATGAACTATCCTTCCCAACATCAAACTCACATGTGTGGGGATATGGAAAAGCGACATGTAATATGACTAAATAGTTGACAGTACTGAGTTGCAAAGGCTTAGCCTTTCCCGTCGAGAGAGTTTAAGACACTTCCATCTATTGATCTCTTTGAGAATTTTGTTGATCAGGTTGCCAAAAAACCAATGATTTGATGTCGGATGTCATGGTCATGTTTGTCCAAGATGTGTTGCCTGTGGCTGCGTATCGGATGTCCCGGTCATGTTTGTCTAGGACGTGTTGTCCATGGCTGCATGCTCGTTCCGAAACCCCTTTTACTAGCTTTCATATTCTATAGGTCTTTATTATTCTTGTTGTGTTAATACGGGATATATGATTGGTCACCAAAATTATGTCTACAATCGCCAGGGCTAAAATTCTCCAAAATGTACTATAGGGATGGACTAGTTGTCAATTCTTCCTACCCGAGTTATATGCTATCAAAGCCGTTGTTGTTACTTAATCACTTTTAGCTTATAACATTAATTTATTTCAAATTGTTTTGAACGCATTTTCTCGCTCACGTTTTTTAAAACATTTCTTTCAAACGTGACCCAAGGCTTGATCATACATCAAGATTGTCTGCAAAGTTTGACATTTGTACTGCTGATTAGTTCGCCGGGTTAGAACAAGTGCTGCACAATCGTTATTCCGCTACCATTAGATTGCGGTTGTGACACCGGGCAAGAAAATATAAAAAAAGGATATGCCCCACCTTACTTTTTAGTTGCAAATTTGCTTGAGAAAGCTTAGAATTCCCTATGTATACCTCACATAATGCTGATTCTCCCGATTCACCTTCAATTCATAGAAATGCTCCGATAACTCAATTGTTTGGATCTGTATCTCAAGTATAAAATCATCAAACTTCTAGAAAAGCAAAGTGTCATCAACAAATTGAAAAATGAAATATGTGTTGTCACGCCCCACAACCAAAACCTTCGTATAATCCTCTATCATGGATATTCTCAACAAGAGCACTCAACACTTTTTTGGATAAGGGAAGAGTCTCGTGGCATGCTTGCTGTTTTGTTGTAATTTGGGGAGTGTTCGAGAGGAATTGTAGGATTTTTAGAGGGGTGAAGAGATCTTTGGTGGAGGTGTCAAAGGTTGTGAATACGTTCCTATGGGTTTTTTGTAATTATCAACTTGGTTATATTCTTTTGGATTTGTGTTATTTTTGTAGTTGTGGGCTTAAAGCTTGGTTTCTTACCAAAAGAAACTAGAGCACTTAACATCTCTTCTACTAATAAGAATAGAAAAGGTGAGAGTGGATCACCTTGCTCCCACAGGTGGCTTTAATCCTTCCACGAGGGCTCCTGTTGATGAAGATCGAAAACGTAGGATCTCTAACATGACTACGAGTCCATTGAATCCAGTTACCAGTTAGAACTTCTTCAAGAAAGTCCTAATCTACACTATCAAATGCCTTTCAATGTCAAGCTTCAAATTCCTACCTTACTTCTTGAATCTATACTCTTTGACGACCTTGTTAGCTATAGTTTGGATCCAGGATTTTCCTACCTTTTATAAAAGCACTTTGGGAACAAGAAATTATAGAGTTCCTGACTTTCTTCAAACATTCGGCTAATTCTTTAGAGTGAAAAGTACAAAGAGAAAAGGGAAACAAAAAAGGAAAAAAACAGTACAAATTAGGAAGAATAAATTAGAGTATCCCAATTTGTGTACAAAGCACTTGAAGAATAACGATCGAATTAGTTGGAAAGATCTTTGAAGACCATAATTACAAAAGAACACAACTACGAGGAAGTGTGTTGAACAATATTACCAAAAAAAAAAAAAAAAAAAAAAAGGGGGT